AAATGAATAAAGGCTGATAGTTTCGAAAGAAACTGTTTGGGGCTGCGTCGGTGGGAGTAACGAAATAATTTGGATATATCAACAAAGTTGAAATGGTAAATTGGCCACCGTAATGATTACAAAAGCTGACGTTTCGAGCGTTAGCCCTTCGTCGGAGCGAATAGAGGAATTGTGGGTTGTGTGTGCTTTTAAAGGCAGAAAATGGAGCTACGTTATTGGTGGGTGCATGGCAACGAGAAAAACATGAATAAATTAGTGGAATGAAAAGCGTTCATTGATCCCTGTGGGATTTAGACTGCCGGTTTGAAAGATGAGCTTTTGTTCAAGATTTTTACGGCTTTCCGTGCCACCTAAGTGCAAGGAAAGACCGCAGATTGCCATATGTTGCTTAGAATGATTAGGTAAATTAAAATGTCTAGCGACTGGTTTCGATGTGTCCTTGTCATTCCTTTCCACGTCTCGAAGGTGTTCTCGGAATCGGTCACCTAGTCTTCTGCCTGTTTCGCCGATGTATATCTTTTTGCAATAAGTGCAAGTTATGCAATAGATTACATTAGCGGAGGTGCACGTGAAGTGATCGGTGATCTTAATGGATCGTTTAGGTCCCGATATTTTATCAGTGTTGTGAATGAAAGGACACGTTTTGCATCGTGCACGAGCGCATTTAAAAGTGCCTGGTTGCTCATTAGTCTGAAAAGAACTTCTGACCAAAAAATTGCCTAAGTTTTTGTCGCGTTTGAATGAAATGAGCAGAGGCTGCGAAAAGATAGTGCTTGTCTCTGGATTGTTTTGAAGTAATTTAAAGTTTTAAAAGTCACATTGCAATTTATTGATAACTACAAGTACCTCTTGTTTTAACTGTCTTAGTTACTTTATGTGAATAATTGTTAAATTACAGTTACGCCTGCTCAACAACTGAGAAAACCATGAAAGATAGTATCCCGTGTATATCAAGAGAATTATGATATCTCAGTGTGTGACAAATTTTCGTTTGGACATTTTCTCAAATTTTGAAGCTATAATCCAAACTTTTCTTAGCCTGGCCAGATTGTATTGTTTCCCATTTGTACATCACTTTTTTACTCACATTGTTAGGCTAGGATCTTTGTTTACAGAGTTATCTTATGCTTGCAATTTGAGCCATACTTCTCAGTCGGGCAGCACATGAGTTTTATTTACTGGAAAAACCCCAGGATTATTCTTGTTTGTAGAAGTGTTGTAATAATGCATTCAGCCACTAATGTTTATGTAAGATGATTTAATTAAATCAATCAGCTGATAAATTCTAACCATTCTCACGGCTTGTGTTTCATTTCAGATCATAAACAATAATTGAGGTGCTGATTGTTTCTCAAAAAATAGCAGAAAGTCAACAAGGCTCACCAATAACCCCAAGAACATGGTCTTTTTTTCCCCTCCACAATGAGTGCTGCTTTTTGTAAAACAAGATTAGATACTTAGTGTTCAATGGCTGTTTTTGTTCCTCTCTTTGTAGTTAAGCCATGGTGAAGCACTTTTTGATAGAAATTTAACATCTTTGTAAAAATTTGTGTGTCATAGATAAGCCCACTATGTTAACAATTTTGCCTTTTAAGTTAGTTGAGATGAACTGTTGGTTATTTATCCAAAAGTATTGGATCATATTTGTTCAACATAAAGTTGTTTAGATAATGTTAAGTAACAGACAATATTCATGTATTTGTTCTATTTTGTGCATGTAAGACACTGGAAACTAGCAGAAAAAGAAAACTGCCAACGAAAGAGTGAATCTAGATTCATTGTGGCAAAGAATACTCAGAGATCACAACAAAATACCTGTGGGAGCTCCAGCGGGTGCTGGGTGTTACTGAAAGCACGGATTGTTCTGGCCTAACCCGGTGAGCAAAGAGACGGTAAGGAATTTTACAAATCTGTGGGAAATGAGAATTTATCCATCAACTTTATTAGTTGGTTCAATGTTTTCAATTTCTCTTTGTAGTTCATCACCACAAGAAAGTTTGGCAACTGGTGGCTTAATTCTCCTTTACTAATGTATGTGATCAAAGTACTATGATGGTTATGGAAGATGGCTTGACATCTGTTGGTAAGTTGATGAATATTACTGTTGAAATTTTGCATGAGAACACCTAAGTTTGACAAATCTGCCTCATTAGTATTTATGAGCTAGGCCTTTTGTGTTTCTATTGTTGACAGTTTATTGTTTTAAAGAATAGGCTACAATGTAATAGCACTAAAATACTTCACAGCAATGGAGAACAAGTGAAATTGTTTGTTTCAATCACTGTTTGAATGGACATTCTCAATATGAAATAGCATACCGTAAAAACCTACAGCTAAGCCGCACCTTTTTTCGAAAAATTGTCGCTATAAACTGGGGATGCGGTTTATCTGCAGGAACACTTGAAAAAGGTGTCAAGTTTTCTATTTTTGTGTCTGATCTAATGGTTACTAAGCTTTGAATGCTCTGCTCACGTTCTGGTTGTAATTTAAAAATCTATGGAAAAATTGTGTTGAATGAAGAAATTTCTGTCAACAAACATCAGAAAAGATCAGTCATGCGTCAAAGTTGATAGAAATGATGTTCATTGTATTAAAGTGTTAAAATTGTGGGTAAGACTCGGAAGTGCTTTCCGTTGCAATGTTAATAGTGAGTTTATGTTCAATGAACAGTGGATGGAGAAGACTTCTCAAGACTTGACTTTGGATTTCTTTTGATTTCTTTCAAAAAAACTTTTTTTCCAAAATTTGAGCTGCTAAACTCAGGGTGCAACTTATCTGTGGGTGCAGGTTTTTATGGTATTAGTGCGACACTGTAATTGAAAAATGTAAAGGATTTATCATTTTCCAACACAAACAAAACTGAAATGAAACTGTTTACATTCGGCTGCATAAACACTGAAGTGATTGATGGTTGAAATGAATGAACGAAAACGTCATTCACAATCTAAAACAGTATACTTTCCTTCTGTTTCTCAACAGTTAGTAGTCAATCATCAGAGCTAATCAAGGGAAGTTTAGAGTTTCCAATAAGTCATGATCAGAACACCAAATTGTTTACATTCTGGTGCATAATTCTGGCAAGCACTTATTGTAATGATTAGTTGGGAAGCATGTTATTGAGTGTTTGCTACCTTATTCCCTTGATGATACACACATCTCAATGCCTTGAATAAGTGACATTTTCCCTTTCCTTCTGACTCATCATAAGCTCAAATGAAGCAAATCTATTACTACTGCTTGTTATTTGATAAATCCACAAAGCAGTGTGAGGTGCGTGTATATTGAACTTCTCCTTTGTTGACTTGTTGCTTTTTTATAAACTGAAAAGTGCTTTGTTTTACACAACAATGTAACACAAAGGCAACTTATAGCACTGAATAGCAAAACACATATATTGCACATTTTTTCGTTGCTGAGTGCCTTTATAATCATGTGTACGTCTGACAACCCTGTGTCTTGAGTGTGGGAAATGTGTCTCCAATGTTTATGTGTACACAAGTGCAACAGTATTTTCTTGTTGAAAGTGATTTTTCAAGGCCAAATGGAACCCAAGGTTATTTTTTTGGGGAAATTGCACACACAGAAATTTGCAGGTACCCCATTGTCTCTAGTTTAGAACTTTAAGATGTTCACCACTTCAAAGTAGAAACAAGTACGTCCTGGTGGAGTACTTTTTGACTGTTGAATTGGTGGCAAGTAGACAAGAATATTATCAGTGTACTGCTTTGTTTACAATTGAAATTGTATGTCAGTTGAGTGCACATACATGAACACAACAGCTTCCAAAGAAGGAAAGTGTAAGGCTCCTAATTTGGCTCTAAATTTCTAACCTCCACATATGATTGAAGTCTGATGGGGGTAGTTAACTGGTGAAAGTAATCTGCTGCATTTTTTCAGCATAACACCTAGGAATTTGCCAGTTTGGATAAACAAAATAGTTACAGTATTTAACCCATTGACACTTGCATGTAACACCTGCCTACATGAAATCAAAGTTTTGGAGAAATTGTAGAAGCAAACACAAAGTTTGGTAAATTTTTATATATATTTCCCCATAAACAAGCTTCAGTGAAAGGAGACCAATTAAATAACTTATTTTCATTGAAAAAGCAATAGGTGCATATCAAATTTTTACTCAAAAATCAAAAGGGAAAGATACAAATCACCAAATATTTCCACACACATGCAAGCAGGCAGGGGGATCAGATTTCAAAAGTGAATATGCAAATTTTGTCCATGTGTGAAGAGATATCATGTCATATGGAATCTTTCAATAAGAAGCAAGACCTAAGTGACAAAGAAATATTTTGGGACAAAAGCTTTTTACGAAACAGTGTTTGATTTGCTGTTATAAGCAAAAAATGTGCATATTTCAGATATGTTCAAAGCCCCTGCAGTAGAATTCTTTATGCTTAGATTGTTATTAGCTGGACTTCATGTCCAGAAAATTGCATAGCATTATGTTGAAATTCTGAAAATACTATGATTTGACACAAAATCTTCTATTGAACAATATTCATGGGATTAATTGTTACTCAAAGATAGTATATACTGGGCCTTAGAATCGCCAAATTGTTGCTAGGCCTTGCTTGAAGTCAAAAAGTTTGATTTTCAGTTTATGGCCACAATTTACATTGCTCCAGAGAATTGTAGTGTCATTGACTCAAACGCTTATTCTGTCACTTTTAAGACTTTTGATATCCATTATTTTCCAAGCAGAGTATTCTAAGCAAGTAGTAGCCTACTTGCAAAATTTTATAGGCAAACACCCTATCAAATTAAAACTTGCCAAGATTGTGCCAGTTTCTAAAGATGATGACGAGTCCTGTGCCAGCAACTATAGACCTATTTCTCTGTTGTCTATTTTCAATAGAATATTTGAAAAGATAATGTATCAAAGACGAAACAAATTCATAACTAAATATGACATTTTAACTAACTCCCAATATGGCTTTCGGGGTGGTCATAATACTCAATATGCAATCCTGGATATTGTTAACACAATTCAGAGTAATAATAAATATGAGTACATGGTAAATTTACCTGTGGACTCTTCATTGATTTGAAAAAAGCTTTCGTTACTGTTGATAACTCTATTCTTCAAAAACTTGATTTTTATGGTATCAGGGGCACCATTAATGACTAGTTCCATTCTTATTCAACTCAAAGGAAACAAACCACTGCAAATGGCTCTTACATCTCTGATAGTGAAACAACTCTGTGTGGCATTCCACAGGGCTCTGTGCTGGGCCCACTTTTATTCTTATTGTATGTGAATGATATAGCTAATTCTTCAAAGCACTTTTCCTTCTATTTATTTGCTGATAATACAAGTATTATTTATGCAAACCAGAATCTTCATAACCTTGAACAGGTAGTTAATTCTGAACTGTGTAATATCAGTGATTGGCATCTAGCTAATAAGTGAACCCTTAATTTTGAAAAAACCAGCTATGTGCTTTTCTGTTCCAGACAGAAATGTTTATAATGGTAATTGAACTGAGTGGTGTGCAATTTGAGCTGAAATTATATGTGTGATTTCAAAATCAAACAAGCGCGCAGCGCGAGTTTGATTTGAAACCACAAGTATGATTTCAGACGAAAATTGCACAACACGAGGTTCAATTACCACGTTATTACATCCATTTTGAAATCGCCCAAATACAGGACATGGTCAATTCAAATATTTTATTGATGCAGTACTCAGCCAGTTTTTAAACAAAAAGCGGAACTGGAAATGCTTCTATATCTTATTTTGTATGCAAAACAGAAGACTTTGACGTCATGTGTCAAACACTCAGTCAAGCGTAAAATGATGCGATTTAGAGCAAAAAATGGTGCGATTCAGGAATAAATCGCACCAATTAGAGCCAATCAGATTACAGGGACCACCAGTGATTTCAAAATGGATGTAATAAAACATATAATCCCTCCATTAAGGTTAACGATCCAGCTCAAAACACATCATGTACCTTGGAAAAGAAAGATTTTGTCAAATATCTTGGTGTTCTGATTGATTATGAACTTTCCTGGAAAAGCCATATTGAACTAATTTGTTTAAAGATCAGTAGAATGGTGGGAATTCTTGCAAGACTTAGACATACTATTCCATTACGTCTCCTTTTAAATATCTATCAAGCCCTTATTAGTCCCTATCTTTATTATGGCATCTGTGCTTGGAGCTCTGCACCCAAATCTTATTTAAATAAGTTACTTCTAATTCAAAAGCAAGCTCTACGCCTGATTTACTTTAAGGACTATAAGCAACATGCTGTTCCACTTTTCTTAAAATTAAATTTCTTTCCCCTTTGCTTTATTTACTTTGATTGTCTTTGTATTATCATGTGGAACATTGCTAACAATCACGCTCATGAAAATATTAAGCGTGCATTTACTAGGATTTTTGAGGTGCACTCGTATTCTATTCAATCTTCTGTCAATGATAATTTTTATAACGAACACTTAAAGGCTTGAAAAAAATTAATGCGTAGTTCTTTCCTAAGAATTGGTCCAAAAATCTGGAATTCTCTACCCTCAGATATGAGAAAATTGCCAAAATCCACCTTCTGGAAAAAGTTAAGGAATAAACTCTCTGAAGTTTTATTAAAATCTGAAGACTACCTTGATATCACTGAAATTATGCACCAGTTAACTAAAATTTAGATAGCTCTGAAACATGATTTGACTTTTATTTTCTGTGTAGTTCACGTTGTTATTTCTGTATCTTAATAATATTTTTAATTGATACCATAATTTCATTTTGCAATAGCTGGTACTGTTTGTAAAATATTTTTCATCTTTTCCTCTCTATAAACTTGTGTCTCTTCCCCTGCCTCGATTAGGCTCTTCTATACGTGGATGGAAGCTAACATGAAATTATAATTTCTGAATTAATTAGTAAAGTTTGTTGTTGTTCTTGTTGTTGTTGTTGTTTGTGTCAATCACTTTTTTTTTGAAAATGAATGATCTCCTTTCACTAGAGCTTATTTTTTAGGAAAAGATGATTTTCAAAACTTTACTGCACTTTGTGTTTTCTTTTCCATACCTTTTTTTTTCTCCAAAATTTTAACTTTTGCATGTTAC